CAGTCGTTCGAAGATGATGTGTCGGAATCCAGTTTACCCCTATGGTGTCAAGCGACGAGTGACAGAGTAAGAAAGAGAGATCGAGTTCACGTTACGAGCAGCAGTAACTGCAAGAACCTGCAGAATTCTAATCTATTGGAGCGCGAAATGGAGCTCCTCCTCCTCCACTAAGGGGATCAGCTGGATAAGCCGCAGTCGTTCGTTGACGGTCGGCCAGGGCAGACCGGAGGACGGATTAAGAACATGTCAAGCGCACTTGGGGGTGGTTGGTGGGGTGCCTGGGCGATTTCGCAGGTAGATAAAGGGGTAAGGCCGAGGCCGATCGATTCATTTCGTTACTGTAATTACGGCCACAACGGTGGGGTCGTCTACAGCGCCGTCATTAGCATACCACACGTTATGGTCTGGTCTTGGCAACAATGGGCCGTTCGGATTTGGGAAAAATGGCCGATGTGGATGTGATCAGGGATATATCCTTTTTTAGGGATATATGTACGTAACATTCTAAAAAGACCGTAATTCTATAGGAAACCTATGGCATGAAAAAAGTATTCATGACTGAGCAAAATTACTAAAAAAAATGAAGTACTCATTGCTAACCGTCAATTCTGGGATGCGCCACGTACTCACCTTCTATTCGGAACCGTTATAACGTTTTAAATGCGTTTTTTACACATTCTTTCGGGACCTGCCGTTGTACAATTCATTTTTATCGTACCAAATACCATTTAATCGACCCTGGGGAGCGGAATGCTTGGTTAGGCCTGGGCGTTGTACGATCCGGGATTTGATCTCTGGGCTGTGCCTGCGATAAGCAGCGCCACTTGCCACTATACCATTCCCTCCAAAAGTTGAACTGAATTGAAAAACCTTGAAGGTAATAAAAATTCTGGCGCTTATCGCAAGATACGGGGGCATTCTCTGGGACTAAGTCTAGATAGGACAGGATATTTGGAAAAATGAAAATTTCTCACGCAACCTGACCTCTCCTCCCCCTCCTTAAGTTTACCATAAAATCCGTTTTCAACAAAAAAGATTTTTACGCAGTTCAGGATGCACTGCTA